AGGCCGCCTTCTTAGGCGACCATCTCGTCTCTCCCGCTCCTCAGGAGCATGTGCCTCCCCAGGCCAAGGTCTCGGTCCTCTCATTCGTGAAGACCGGACCCTCTATCGTCCAAAGATCTGTCGATCTTACTCCATCCACCCATCTCCCGGCCTCGGCTGCTAAAGCCAAGGTCGCTCCGTCCACTGAAACCTCGTGCTATCCCGACGTGGAACGCGCCAGGAAGAACTGCGGTAAGCTCGATCTACCAAAAACCGCCCGCAACCTCAAATCTTTCGAGGAAGCGGATAAGCGGAAGCGAGCACTTATTGACCGCATCAGTTCTCCCAGGCCTCCCAAACGTCAAAGATCGCTCGAGCCCATCGAACAGGCTGAGGTGCATGAGGCCAGCTCGCCTCTGCACCGACTCCCATCTCCCCCACTGGCACACGGTGGATCTGGAGAAGGGGTCGACGTTCCCCAACCAACCATGGTGTGTCAATCTGGACTGCCTATGGAAGGGGACGGCTCACAAGCACTGGACGGACTCTCTGACACCGATGCCTTGGGGGAAGACGACGACAGCGTCTCCCTCGGAGACGAAGGCGAGGACCCCTCGCTATTCGGCGCCCCCAAGACGGTCTGGGAGAGGATCCGAGACGGAGAACTGGAGGACCCGCTCCACCCCAATGACGAAGTCTCCGACTGGGGCTCCGACGACGGGATGGGAGGCGAATATCCAGATCGTAATGGACCAGATCGCCTTTCAGATGCGAAACCATCCGTCTACCTACCGGACTGGGACGCTCTGAGGACTGGTCACTTCGACGACGATAAGTACGTCCCTTCTGTTTCTCTCAGGAAACACTTGGCTAATTCATTGCCTCCACAGCCTCTTCAACTAGATCTTGATAGCTTGGACGATGATGTATTCCTAGAATTATGCTGTGCATTAAATTCTATTGTCTCTATTCATGATTCATCGAATACTGCTAAGTGTGAAGACGCGAAATGCGCTTCCTGTAAGAAATTTGAAACATTCATACACTGGATGATGGACTCTGGGGCATCAATGCACGTTACCCCCTCGAAAGAGGACATGTTCGACTACAAAGTCGTTAAGAACAGTCCATCGGTTAACACCGCTTCCAAGGGTACTACCCTGTCCATAAAAGGAATTGGAAAGCTTCGAGTGGTTCACACTATCAAAGGTGCTGATGGTAACGATCGAGACGTTGAATCTATCATCGAACCGGTATATCACATACCCAATCTATCGACTCGATTGTTCTCTACGGGAACTTTCTTGAGTCAACCCAAAACTACTCTTTGGGGCGATTCCCTATCCATGGGAATCAACGATTCTGATGGGAGAAATCTCATTAAGGGTCATCCACTTCATCCGGACGACACGATCTATTGGGTTTCCGTAAAGAACTCCAACGGATCGCCGAAAGAAGTGCTGAAGGTCTCCGGACCACCTGTCGATTACGAGGTCATGCATAAACGCTTTGGTCATCCATCGCGGGAAGTGCTCAAACGAGCCAAAAAGCATACCACGAACTTCCCACCTATGGTGGAAATTCCCAAACATGAACCTTTGTGCCGCGGTTGCGCCCAAGGGAAGATGACGCTTGAACCATTCCCGGCTTCAAGCAAGCGTGCGAAGCGCAGATTCCAGAAGATCCATTCGGATCTGAAAGAATTCTCAGTTGAATCATACCACAAGTTCAAACATTTCATCTCCTTCTTTGATGATTGCACGAGTCGTGGATCGTGTGTCCTTCTTCGTCAGAAGAGTGGATCAATCCAAGCGATCAAAGACTTCGTTACCATGGTTGAGACAATATACCATGAGAAAATCGAAGAATGGCAGGTGGATGGTGGTGGAGAATTCATCAACGAAGAACTCATAGCATTCTTCAAATCAAAAGGAATCAAGCTATCAATCAGCGCTCCGTATATGCATCAGCAGAACGGACGCGCTGAGCGCTTCAATCGCACTATCATGGAGAAGGCTGAGTCAATGCGTCATGACGCTTGCCTACCTCCATCATGGTGGGAATTTTCTGTTCTATACGCCGTTTACGTGTATAACCGGACGCCACTCAAGCGTCTTGGTTGGATTACTCCACACGAGGCTGTAGAAGGAGAAGCTCCGGACGTCTCTAAATTAAGAGTCTTCGGATGTGGTGCCTGGGTGTACATTCCAAAGGAACAACGATCTAACAAGCTCCTTCCACGGTCGGAGTATATGATTTTCCTAGGATTCCCAGAAGGCATGAAGGCGTATCTCTTCATGAGATCGCCAAGGAACGTTCTATTCAAGGCGACTACTGCTCGCTTTGACGAACTTCACTTCCCAAGGTGTCCTGATGCGAAAGCACCTCAAGACCAACCACGAGTTGAAGACTACCCACCTTCCTCGTTTGGCAATGATGGACCTCCATCTGAATCTGAAGATGATGATAACGACGATGACTTCCTTCCTCGTCCATCAAACTCCCAAACCCCTCAAAGAGGTAGCGGTCCTGATCGTGCCGACGATCGGAACGCTGGTGAACAACCAGCTGACCAGCACCCGCCGAACCCTGCGCCGGGAAACGCTCCTGGTGATGAACCAAGGAGATCTGCGCGGAATGGGACCCAAACCAAGTCTCAGCCTGGCGATGTCTACGGAAATAAAACTCCGACAGAAAAGCATCAGACGGATCGGAGAAAAGCACTTGATAAAGATGACAGACGGCCATCTGGATCTAATCAAGGTGCTGCAAGCAAGGAAAAAGGTGTTCCCGCGCCGAAACCTGCTACTCCAGTGTCCGAAAGTGAATCTGATTCGACTTTTGACATACCTGAAGACTTAGAACGCTTGACGCGTGAAGGGGGAGTTAATTTTATGCATTTCCTGCTTTCAAAAGCGGTTTTGCCTTCAGTTCCTTCTGTCGATAACGCTCCACGCGAGTGGACGTTTAAAGACATCTTGCGGATGCCACCGCAGGAGAAGAAAGGATGGATCGATGCTTGCAAAGATGAGTTAAAGGCACTCTCTGAACGCAATGTATTCGAAATGGTCGATCTTCCCAAAGGTCGCAAAGCAATCACCAATCGCTGGGTATTCGACGTCAAATCTGACGGTCGTAAACGCGCCCGACTTGTTGCCAAGGGTTTCCAAGAAATCGAAGGCATTGACTACAACGAGATTTTCTCACCGGTGGTTCGTTTCGAATCAGTCCGAACCATGTTAGCCCTCACGGCTCTCAAGGATTGGCACATCACCGGAGTCGATGTCAAGACCGCATTCCTCTATGGGAAACTAGATGAGGAGATCTATATGCGTCAACCCGAAGGCTTTGTCATGAAGGGCAAAGAGCACAAGGTGTACCGGCTCCTTCGTGCTATCTATGGTCTGAAGCAAGCGTCCCGTGCATGGTACATGGAACTTGCAAAGTCGATGAAGATTCTTGGCTTCAAACGACTATCGACCGATACCGGGATCTTCATCCTTCAGGATGGACATGGTGGCTTTGTCATCATGATTGCCTACGTCGATGATCTCATCTTCGCGGGTCCTAACAAGAGACTTGTTAATGCCAAGAAAGAGGCGTTCAAGCTCAAGTGGGAATGTCGAGACTTCGAAAATCCAACCGAGTTCTTACGAATGAGGATCAGACGTGACGGACAAAATATCCGTCTGGACCAATCTGCCTACCTTGGCACGGTCCTGGAACGTTTTGACATGAAGGATTGCCGACCGGCACCCACACCTATGGTCGAGGGTTATAGGCCTCTCGAACATACTGGACCTGTCGATACGAAACGACGCCACTACTTCCAGTCGATCATTGGATCTCTGCTCTACTTGATGCTGGGCACTCGCCCAGACATCGCCTACGCTGTTGTCAAGCTGTCTCAATTTGCAGCTAATCCTTCCGAGGAACACATCAGCAAGGCAAAGTACATATGCAGATACCTCCGAGGAACTATGGACTACGCTCTGGTTCTTGATGGCGCATCCCAAAATGGATTGATCGCCTACTCGGACTCTGATCACGCTGCGGATCTGGTTGCACGCCGATCCACTACTGGAAACATGGTGATGTTAGCTAACGCTAGCATTAGCTGGATTTCACACGCTCAAAAGACTGTTGCTAATTCCTCCACCGAAGCCGAATACATGGCTGTGTCTGACTGTAGTCGACAGGTGATGTGGTTTAAGCACATGTTTAAAGAGCTTGGCATGCCGATCATCGTGCCTATCCCTATCTGTTCCGACAACAATGGTGCTATATTCATCAGCAACAATCCTATTCAGGAACGTCGCATGAAGCACATCGATGTCAAGTTTCACTACATCCGTGAACTCATCGAGAATGGTGACATCGAAGTCTTGCGAGTCGATACCAATGACAATATCGCAGACATCTTTACCAAACCGTTGGGACGTGTGAAGTTTGAACACTTCAGGGGATTACTAGGACTTGAGTTCTACTCGTCTTAGTCCAATGGGTACACTCGTTAGAAGATGCACTCATTGAGGGGGAGTGTTGATCTTATCTTATGTAGATTAGATTCGACTCGCGACTCTCGCGACTCTCCGACTCGGATTACTCCGACTCGGACTCTCCTAGATACATTCTTATGAGGCTATGCGATATCTGTAGTATTCGTCATTCTTGCATCTATACGACTCATACTGACTCATACGATTACTCGTCACACATGTGACTGCTTACTCAGTCCTTACATTGCTCTATTATTAGTACACGCAATATGTATATAAGGACGCTGGTAGCTACTATAATCTCTATCACTTTAACCTACCAGTTAAGCCTACAAGCTACTCGGTAAGACATCTACTCGCTAGTCGCAGTAGTGTTCTTCACCATTTGGCTATCGCGGTCTTCTATCGCACACAGGATGTTAAGAGACATAATTCAGGGTCTGATGACCCGGACAAGTCAGAAAACCCAATACCCATAAAGGTCATTCGTGTAGCAAAAATTCACCGATTTCTACGGAACATTGGGACGACCGCGGATCGAACGCGGGACTTTCAGCTCTTCAATCTGCCGCTCTCCCAGCTGAGCTATGCCCGCAGAATCTCGCTTACAACCTGGTTGTATGCACCCGCCTGTGTGCTAAAGTGCGAATGCTTCGAGGTTTGGGCTCGACGAATCTGGATGCGATGAGGAAAGCGATCGGTCAAAACGCTGCTGTGAGGTTGAGTTGGGCGTTCTAAAATGACGCTCAAAGTCTCAAGTTCTGTTGTTGCCTTTCGCCATAGATCGATTTATGGGACCCTTTCAAGAACTCGATCCCACAGACAAACCATAGGCGGCGACTTGGTAGCAATGCTAGTTCGATCATCTGTGCTCAATATTAAGCATTCTTCAAACCGATGAACACTTCCTACTGTACCAAGAAGAAAAAGCACGGTGCACCGAGGTGAAACCAAACGGCGGGCGAACATCCACATGCTCCTGGTGATCGATTGGTCTTTACAGCAACACAGCTATAGAAGTGAGAACAAGCGCACAGAGAAAGCGCTCAGAGGACTAGCACCGGGCAAGAACCGGGAACGGGCCGCGACGGGTTGGTTTCGCTTTAAAATACGGGACGCATCTTGGCCAATGGCAGGTAAGGGAACGCTCGTCTGTCTTGGTGAAAGAGAGCACTAAATTCGAGCGTTGTGATTAATGAGCGCCTGATTTAAATCGGAGTTTAAAGTACTGATCTTGCAGTGCTCACTGGCGGGTGTCGCCGAGCCCTTGTTTCAACCACGACGTTCGTTCGTTCCCAATGCCGATTTGGACTCAAATGACCCCTGCCGTCCTCTCCGACGACGAATGCGCAAGGCCAGGGAAGTGAGTGAAGAAGGAACTTGCACGCGGTCGCTGGCCTTTTGGCGTCTTTGAAGACGTTCACGTTGGCTAGCTTGCTCGTCCCTCCGTCGGTACAACAAATCCAAGCACCGTGCGTTGTCGAATCACAAGGGGTACGTCGGTCTCCTGTCCAAGTTGTGACTTATACCGAATGACTTCAATAGATCCTCGTCTCGGAAAAACAAAGCCGATTCAGCGCTCGGAGATTCAGAAGGCACGTTAACATCCATGTACGTATCTCCCCTCCCTACCCCACTTCTCGCTCATTGACACATTCCTTCCACTCGTAGCACTTCATCCCTATTCTCAACCCGCTCAATGAGAAACCTTTTGATTCGCCCCATATCCTCCGCCCTCTCTAGCACCCGCACTCGTCCCAACAACCCTTCTGCCCCCCACTCCCACCCCAAATGTGGGTTATGATCTTCCAATATACCATATTCCTGCCCAACCCATCCCTCGCTTTGTCCACCGTTTCGTCTAACGAATACAATCCCTCAACATTCACATCGCATTCGCTCCTTCACTTTCCCCACACCCAAGGTCATCCTCTCTTGGAATACAGGAGAAGCATGCGCACGATGTGCGATTTGACGCTCGTGTGTGGGCTTTGGTGGACGATTGAACAAGAGGGCTTGTTAGAGCTGGTTTGGTTGACAAAGAGAGGCGAGTCTGCTCGCTGCGCTCCTGAGCGACGCTTCTATCCGAAGCGCCGATCTTTCAGTTGGAGCCGGTGTAGTCGAAGAGCCAGCGACGAAGAGCAAGGTGTTGCGTACGTTGATGATGGGGAAACGAAAAGAGACTGCACGCGTAGCCGGCTTCGATGGGATCAGCGTCTCAGCCACCACCAGCGGTTTCTATTCCACATCTCCACCACCTCCCTCTTCGTCATCGTCTCAAATCCACCCTCATCACCCCCCTTCCTCGAATTCCTCTGCAACTTCTACAGGCGCCTACGCGTTCACTTACAACACTCGCGCCATCGGGCGACACATGCGTCGACAGCACATCGAACCTCACTCACCTGACCGCTGTTCGCCACAGGATCTCATGACGATCCCCACACACGCACTTACTCTCCAGGTGTCTTCGGACAACCAGAGCATACGAAGGACGAGTGGGTTTGTGTCTTGTCGTCTTCTTTCGTCTGGTGGTTCGGGGGGTGGAATCGGAGCATGGGAAGGTCGACGACGACGGTTATCTCGTCGAGTGCCATCTCAACGTTGATCGAAGGAGGGAGGCCTAGCTCGAGTGCACGAACGAATTTAGGCTCGTCTTCGTCTTCACGCTCGACAGTCACGATCACCACAGACGACACCAACCACAACGTCCTGGATACCTCGTTGGAGGTCGTACACGCGCCGATTCAGGCGACTCGATTTCGTATTCTTATACACCACCACCACACCAGCAAGACTCCGATATGCAGTCCTTGAGCGCGTTGATCCGTCCTCAGAGACGGACGACGTCGTCGAGGAGATTGAGTGGACGAGCTATAAATGTGAGGCGGGGATTTCGAGGCTGGTTCGTTCCTCTCTTTTGCTTTCTTCTTCCTCCAACATTGGTGCTAATGCGCTGGTGATAGGGATGGCATTCTACACGCGCATCATTGGCCCCAAGTTTCGCCTGGTCTCTGTGCACCTCGAACACCTCGAGTGGACGCTCTATGCAAAGGGTCTCACGCAAGGCGTGACGCCCAGAAGCAACGGGTGTTGCAGACATCTGCAAACGTGCCATTTTCGATGCAAACAGCTGCAGTGGTACGCAAAGAAGCGCTTCGCCAAGAGCAACACTTCTTCGAGTTTACTCGGCCTCCTGCATAATTCTGCTTAATTGCAGACGAGTGCAGTTTGGCGGCCTGATGCTAACGCGCTAACGTCCATCCAAGCGGATCCATGACAGATCGATAACCAAGCTAATGAAGTCCGTTCGGTCCCCTCGGCACTCTCTTCGACGACCTCCTGGTCAACTACGGGCGCGCTGAGTTTGAATTCACATTCAGCTTCCCTGTCGCGCATTTTGCCCATTCTTTCTTTCCTTCCACCACCACGATGGCGGCTTCCACCAGTCTCCGACTCTCGCCAGCTTCTCCATAGCTCATCAACGAGGTGCTATTGGCTCCATCGACAGCTCGGGAACAACAACTGTAGGTGCTACTCACGGCGTTGTAGATCTTGGCAACGTCAATGAACGTTTCAGGTGAAGGGACGCGACAATGAGGATTTGAAACTGAATATTTGTCTGTTTACTCGCTAGTAAGGCGATTTTTGGTGTCTATTAGCCGTCGCGCGTCGTTGCAGCTGACCATTTCATAGGGATCCGAGCCGATTATAAGTATGTGTTCCTGCTAGGGTGCGTTCTTTTGTTGCTCGCCCGCTCATGGAAGAATACACTGATACCCATTTTTTCCCTCTTACATTCTGTACCGCCTGACGAGCACGCGACATTGCGGGTCTACAACCAACATCTCACCGAAGCCCAGCTGACGGTCGTTTATGGAAGTTTTTAGGTTTTACGGTGGCCGAGGAATCGTCTCAGATCACTCTGAAAGCTATTGCTGTAAGCCCCCTTTGGATGTGTTCATTCGGCGTACTGACGAGCGTGCTTAGGTGGCTTTCGTGAGGCGCAATGCAGTAGTATGGTATCCTGCAAGTGTGGGACCCTGCGCCTCCCTGGCAAGTAGCGGTTCGGTGCGGATGGGTGCATATTTGGGCGGATAACCGGTAGAATGAGCACGTGTATAGTAGCTTCGAATAATAGATCAGAATGCATTTGGATGCATATGAACAACGCGTCTGTTGGTGTATTGCAGTTGTGTGCAGACCCGTGCAGCTCTCACAGCCGAGTCGATCAAAGTGACGGAAATTTTACTGCACTCCTACGCAATCTAACGCACTCATCTGCAATTTCAGGGGATTGCATTTGGGTGCAGACCTTTGCAGCTGTTTTCATCACCCGTTCCTTCTGGGCGTGACAGGCCGAGGAGGGATTCTTTGAGTTGCATCGGTGCGGCAAATACCAGTTCGACGATTACGACTACGACCGCCATCACTGCCTCATCCCCTCCCTCTGGAGGTCCAGCTCCCATTCTCTATCCACCGAAACACTCCGCTCCATCCAATCCGCCGTAGGGGCGCTGGACCTCCCCTACCTCCCCAACCTGACATCTCTCAAACTCACACCAGACAACGTCACCTGTCTTGTCGTCTCCGCCTGGGACTTTGGAGCCATCCAAAACGTCTCGCTCATCGCTTCCAATATCTTGTATGCCAATGGAGGCTTCGCAAGTTCCTTGGATGTACATGGAGGGACGATTGAAGGGGTTGAGCTGGTGCCATTCGACGGGTGCGATTGAAGAGTTTTGGTTGACTGCGCCTCTTCATCCCACCGCCGCTACCAATGGCACAAGCAACGGGTGGAGGTTTGGTTCAACACGGATTCCGTTGGCGGAATGGGAGGGGATGCTGTCGTGATTGTCCACAAAGTCCCTGCAGTTGCAACAAACTTTGTGGACAATCTCGCTGCAACTGCAGCAAAATACATTGTCCACAAAGCCTTGCAGAAGCCCTTCCGACACGCGCTTGAGAAGTATTGTCAATTTAGGCTTATGATCCCGATTTGTAAAACAGCGATCGAAGCCCATTCGGTCGGCGGGTTCGAGCGGTTTCATTGCCGCCAGCGGGCGCTCACGTTAATAGGGGCTTGAACGCATTAGGCGCCAGCACTGCCACATCTTAGAATGTCGCCGCCCCAGTTGCGGCTGCCTGGGGGCGGAAACCTTATGAGGAGCGGTTGGAGAGTGCATTTATTACATAGCTGTATACCACTGCTAGAGGATGCGCCCATTCCTATGTCATACAACCGTGTATCAGCCTTGCTATGCATGAAATACCGCTGCGTGCAATCGGGCCTTTGGCAGCGGATTGCGGTATAAAAGACGGCCCAAAAGCTCAACAAAACGGGTGTATTTAAAGCTCATCCGCTTACTCTTTCAAACGCAGCTTGAATCTCGCCTAACGGGGATGATCTGACGTAGTTATAAGCAAAACATTAGAATGGCACGTTGTGAAGGCTGAATTTGGCCTGAATACAGCTAGGACATTAGCAGAAAGGATCTTGCACGGTCCTACAATGGTCGACTAGCATCCATATGTACTTTACAGACACGAGGAAGTGTTTTACTGAGAATAATTTGAGGGCACCCTGTGAATACC